GAGTGGGAGGCCACTAATAAACTGGTCCTGAACATATCTAAAACTAAGAACATTATATTTGGTACAAATCATTCCCTAAGTTCTAGACCTCAGCTGAATCTGGTAAGGAATGATGTGGCTGTTGAACAAGTTGAGGTGACTAAATGACTTGGTGTTACCTTAGATTGTAAACTGTCATGGTCAAAACATATAGATTCAATGGTTGTAAAGATGGGGAGAGGTCTGTCCGTAATAAAGAGATGCTCTGCTTTTTTGACACCACAGTCCTGCAGGCTCTGGTTTTGTCTTATCTTGATTATTGTCCAGTCGTGTGGTCGAGCGCTGCAAGGAAAGACCTAGTTAAGCTGCAGCTGGCTCAGAATAGAGCAGCAAGTCTTGCTCTTCATTGTAATCAGAGGGCTAATATAAATACTATGCATGCCAGTCTCTCTTGGCTAAGGGTTGAGGAGAGACTGACTGCGTCACTTCTTCTTTTTATAAGAAATATTACACACAGCTCTGACACACACACTTACCTCACCAGACATGCCACCAGTGGTCTTTTCACAGTCCCCAAATCCAGAACAATTTCAAGAAAGCTTAGAGTATTATATAGAGACATTATTGCATGGAACTCCGTTCCATCTCATATTGCTCAAATGAACAGCAAACCTGGTTTCAAAAAACAGATAAAGCAAGATCTCATGGCACAACGCCTCTCCCCTATTTGATCTAGATAGTTTGTGTGTGTGTGTATTGATATGTAGGCTGTGTGTGCCTTTTAAAAAATGCATGTAGTTCTGTCCTTGAGCTGTTCTTGTCTATTAATGTTCTATATTATGTCATGTTTCATGTTTTGTGTGGACCCCAGGAAGAGTAGCTGCTGCTTTCCCTACAGCTAATAGGGACCCAAATAAAATACCTGCACACTAGTAGCTCTCCAGGAGGAAGGTTGTCCAGCCCCTGCTAGTTTAGCTGGACAGGAACCTCCCTCTGTGTGGTTCACAGGTGGCTGGTGGCACCTTAATTGGGGAGGACAGGCTCATAGTAATGGTTGGAACAGAATTAATGGAACAGTATCAAACGGATGGTTTTTATGTGTTTGATACCATTCCATTCCAGACATTACTATGAGCCATGTCCTCCCCTCTCGAGCCTCCTGTGGTGTGGTTGTCTCCTCTGCCCCCAGGCACAGCAGCTTCACACGGCACCCAGCCAGAGGGGAGGATTCATATTCATTCCCTTTGAATTACTCACAGATTCAATTATGCAAGATAATGCAAATACAAGGTCTTTCAGGTCTGTTTTTCTTCTTCCCAGAAATCTGCCTCTTTAAATAGCACCCCCCTGTATTACACTGACACGTGTCTCCTTTAGTCCCGCAGTTTTCTCTTTCTACTTCCTGTGTGACATGGGGGAAAATGGGCCTTTCTGTGAAGTGTCTCGCTAAAGGGGGGCTAGCATCTTAGAGGTATTACCAGTGCCAATACTACATAATACAACTAATATCTGGCGCTGGCTTCTAACAGTACAATATCAAACATTCCGCTGTCATCATCAAGGCGCGTCCCACTGAATGTTCTGTTCAGATCAGTCCAGTTCCCTGGGTATCACAGAGACTTCTGACACTCGAGAGCCCCAAAGTATGTTTCTGACTGTCAGCCCCTCTGAAGTCAATAAAACCGCTGGGTCTTCAAATGTGGTCTGCTGGCAGTCAATCTGAAACATCTCCAAATCATGGCAGGTTAAATTAAACAGACAGCGGAACATGCAGAAGAGAGGAGAGCGACCACTTGAGAAGGGATCAAGAGAGAGAGACAGATATTGATTGAGAAATAAAGATGCAGGGAAACAAATAAAAGCAAAGAGGAATAGAATACTCAGAGAGAGAGAGAGAGACAGACACTACTTAGATTGCGGTGTGCACTCTCTGGTCCTGTGTGTTATTGTTCAGTACATGAACTTGCCCTGAAGTTACATCTAGGGGGTTGTATTATCTAAATTGCATTCATGTTCACACATTACACTCTAACTTTAAGAATGATAAAGTCTCTCACCTCTCCCTTTAAGTCCCTATCCACACCCTTAACCTTTGTTCAGAGACAAACGTCAGGGTCAACTGTGTAAAAACATTTACAATCCTACTGGGATTATATCAGAGAGGAATAGGATTTAGGTTGATTTCCATCATACTGAATACAAAGTTCATATATAGTAGTCTGAATCAAATAAAATCAAATGTATTTGTCACATACACATGGTTAGCAGATGTTCTTGCGAGTGTAGCGAAATGCTTGTGTATGTAAGCGTTCCCTGTTTTACTATGCATTGAAACTGTACGTGTGTTCAATCCCACAGGCAATCTGTGTGGCTGAACCAAGACACTCCATTGGGATCAGCTAGTGCATGGGTGATAGAGCATGGGTTGTCCATCTCACATCAACACTCTTATGCACGCACGCACACACACACTAACATCCATCTTCTCCTCCTCCCCACTGAATGAAGACCGACTCACCTCCGAGGTGGGAAATAGAAGAGTAGAAACAACCCCAGCCTGGCTCAGATAGCTCCCTAACCCTCTAATTGTCATCTGGCTGGTCTGAAGACATGAAAGCCACCATATTACAATGCAGGTCACGCACACTCAGGAATACAGATGGGCTAGTGGCTCGTTCTGCTGTGCCAGTCATTGATTCAAGGTATAAGATTAAAGAGCCCCAAGTGTGTGTGGTGATTGTGGTGATGAAACAGTGTATATTTTTCACTGGTTCCCAGAGTGTATACTTCTGCGTGGGTGTAGATCTTCTTAATTTGACGTTTCGGGAGTAGAGTGGTTTTAATCACTCCAAAGCTAGCGCTGCGTTATAAGAGCCTGTGGGAGAAATGGCAGGCAGCACCACTGACGAGAAGGCTCCTGCGTGTGTAGACGCATACGAGAACCACACTGAGCAATTATTCCAATGTCAACTATGGAGCGTCTCCACCTGTTCACCACTATATTGAGGCACAGGTGGTCAGTACTTCGGTGCTCATGCCACCAGGTGGTCATTCTGGCCAATTGAAAACCACAGAGAGAGAGGCAGAGATGAACAGAGAAGGACAGGCAGAATGGGAGCGACAGATCCATAGTATAGAGAAATGACAGAGAGAATTACAGTAAGGTAGAACGACCGGAGAGGGAAGAGGATGATGTTCCTTTATTCGCTCCATCCTTCCCTTCCTCCTTCCTTCTCCCAGCAGGATCTCCATGCTCATTGTGGGACTTTACAATCCAATTAGCCTCTGGGAAATACATCCCCCCCTTTACTCCATTCAAATGTATATTTATCCACTTAATTAAGAAAGTAACCTGCAGCCGTCGCTTCTGAATTCAGAGTAGACCTTACTCTCATGGAATTCAAACATATTCATAATGAGCTATGAAAAGAAAGAACACTTGGAACTCCTGTCAATCCCTTCCATAGACATACTGTCCATCTTGACATTGCACTGCGACCATACATTTTCACAGCTTATGCTGCCATTTCTTGTCAGGTTCAGACATAATCATGTGTACTGTAGGTCTCCCAGATAGACGCTGTCATAACTGTCAAGTTGGCAGATATTCAAACAAGTCCTCGAAGGCTTCTTTTAGTGTTTTGTTGGTTTAAGAGGCTGGGGTATTAACAAGTCTCTATTAAACAGCTGCAAGTCAAGCAAGAACAGCGGTCTGCTAATTGTCAATATGTGGTGCTTTAAGTATAAAATGCTTGTTTATATTGTGCAACAACACTCCGTCTGAGTCTGTCAGGGTGAATGAACAAAGAAAGAAAGGGGGAGGGGGGGGAAGAGAGAGTGAGCGAGAAGCATCACACACTCATGGCCTCATAGGGGATAAACAACATAGAATACAGTCTGTTCTTTACACAAATACCAATAGCAAGTTCTACTACGTATAAAGTGTTTGCCTCCTGAGGCTAAGCCAGTCAGTATGTTAATAGCAGAATGAATACACAAGTATTTCTCAAACAATACCAGACATGAGAAAGATACAGTGGTGTACAGAAAGTAGCAACTTTTTATTTGAGTTACAATTATTTACATGTAATCAAAGACAAAGTCTTCGAAACCGGTACAAACTTTGTCCCGCCGCTGTCTTTTTAAATATTTTTCTTTGTTTTTACTTCAAATGACAACTCAGAAATATTGTATAAAATAAAAATATCAGCTTCAGAAAAGTAGTCTAGCATTCTAACATCCATTAACCACTATTTACAGGTGTTATTTACATTCTGAAATTCATTTAATGACCAGGGTTGTAGTAATTACAGAAACCATTTAACAACCAAACGGAAGCAAACAGAAAAACGGAACGAAATGGACCTACCTGAATTTGACCAATAGAAACCCTTGTTTTCTTTGCAAATCATTTTCCTTTTGGAGTAAACGGTTTCTGTTGCAAAAACGTTTTGCAACAGAATCGTCATAATGAATAAATCCTAGATTTGCAACTCAACATGCAGGAAACATGCCTGTTCAATTGCAGCTCTACAAATCAGAGGGAAATTAAAAGAAATGGCTATCTGTATGGCTGTCATTCAATAAGTATCTTATTGGAGCAAAGGACTAGTTATAGTGTAGCTGAAAGGATGTTTAGGGGTTCTGGTTCACCGCTCAGAATAGGAAAGTCGTGTCCAACATGACGACTTAAGACAAGGGGCAGTAAAGAAACGCTATAGCCCTGTCCAGAGGAAACGATAGGTGTAAGCAATATGGTAGTAACTTCACTTTTTCCTCTGATAGGCTAGGTAGAAATGTCACCATTTTACTATCCAGTGCCCACAGACCTGGGGTGCCTAGGGGGTTGGGGTTAGGACAGGAGTCACCAACGCAGGGTACTAGGTGTGCAGGCTTTCCATACTTAATGCAGGGCAGGATGGAACCTGCACACCCTGCAGTTGTCCAGGACCAGGTGGTGAACCCTAGGCTTGGGGTTGGTTCTGGATCAGCGCTACTTGAAGTGGTAAGATACAATGCCCACCAGAGGAGGCTGGTGAGGGGAGAACGGCTCATAGTAATGGATGAAGTGAATGGAATCAAACATGTTGCCGTTCCAGCCATTACTATGAGCACGTCCTCATTTAAAGTGGCACTAGCCACCACTGATGCCCACAGAACAATGTTATAGGCAAGGAACAATAACTTTCCATGAGGATTATGCCAGTTGGCTGAGGTTTGGTTATTATTAATGTCAGTCCGGTTTACCAGGGTTTCTGTGAGTCTAATGAAAACCGTACATACAGCAGTTATTAAGTGATGTGTTAAGTGGAACATCTAAAAGGTAAAGAAATGTAGAGACTTGAAGCATCTCACACAGCATCAGATCTGGATAAAATGTTAAAATAAATACATACCCACAATCATTAAAAACGACCGAATTGCAAATTTAAAACAAAACACAAAACTCTTTCTTTACTGTGAAGTCAAATTGGAAAGGGCAATGGGTAAAACAATTCAAAAAAGCATTAAAGTGCCATTATTTAAAAACAAAACTTTAAATAAATGAACAGTCATCCAGACCTACTGATTTCTTATTTTAGAATTATGTTACATTACATGACCTTGTGAGAAGAACTTAAACAAGCATGATGCACTGAAGAAAAAATCCAGAAGATCTCAACTTGATCACGAGCTTATGCAAATAATGGACATCAGAGCTAAAATTTAGAGAGGGCTTTCAACATTGACCTTCCCTTTTCTACAACCATCACAGGCCATTGTATGTGTGTGTGTGTGTGTCTTGTTCTTCAGAATGAGGATGCATGTTTAAGCAATGCTGGTCGACACTGTTGGAACACCGATTATCTCTGGTGGATTTTCTGTACAGCCCGTCCTGCTGGGGATGGCAGATCTGACATGACCCTGCTAAGGTTCCCAGATCTGGAAGGACCCTCATGGGGTTGCCATATCTGGAAAGATGTCCCCTTATGTGCAGTCAGAGTGCAAAGAGGGGTTCACTAACAGTGGTCCAGGTAGTCTATGACACGAGAGATGGACTTATGTCCTGTGGTGCCAAATGCACACTGTTGAAAAAGAGACCGGGGAGAAAGCAAGTTAGCTTTTATTGTGTTCGTGTCTCTAGTATTTTTTAAGTAAAGGGAGAAAAAGAGATGCTAGGTCATTATCAAAAGACGTTGCCTACTTACAGTAAGGTTCATGAAATTCAGGAACTTCTTAAGCATTTCCGTCATGATGGAGAAATCTCCCTTGGGAAGGTTTTCCCGCACAGTAGTCACATTAACCTGATGAGAGAGAATGAAGCAAATACACATTACTAAGGGCAGCGTTTTCCTTTCGCAACCAGCTAAAAAACCTGAGCAATGACAAGGTATTTTCAGCTCACCTTTCTGTGCGTCTGCACAGATCTTGGTCAACTCTGCACCGATGTAGGTGGAGCAGAAAATGACTGTCATGAGGTTTTTTTTTACAGGAGAAGGCTACTAGCTTTAACACGTATTTCCATTTAAATCGACGGGCTACAACGATACTCTTAAGCTTCGAACTAGGCTTTTATGTTACCTATTCTTGATATTTATCTAAAATAGCCTTTGTGCTTTTATGTATTCTGCAATTGTATTGTGTCATGTTCAGTTTAATAGCCTACTTTGACAGACTCAAGCTCTCAATGAATTCTGATGCAGCATTATGCAAATCAATTAAGCAACTGAACTTGAATCAGTGATCAGGTCATCATTTCTCTGTTTCCTCTCATATTGTTATTTGTTTATTAGCTAGGACAGGGGTAAAGGGGAACGAGAGAGAGTTGCTGAATAAGTGGTCCCGATTCGAACGCATGCTGCAGCGGTATAGGAGTTCTGGAGGCAGTGGCTTAGACCGCTAGACCACGGTCGGGTTCTCTTTTATTCACAATGAAAAAAGTACAGCACTGCAGTTGCCTTTACTTTTCACTTACTTGTTAATAACTTTACACACACATATACAGTGGGGAGAACAAGTATTTGATACACTGACGATTTTGCAGGTTTTCCTACTTACAAAGCATGTAGGTCTGTAATTTTTATCATAGGTACACTTCAACTGTGAGAGACGGAATCTAAAACAAAAATCCAGAAAATCACATTGTATGATTTTTAAGTAATTAATTAGCATTTTATTGCATGACATAAGTATTTGATACATCAGAAAAGCAGAACTTAATATTTGGTACAGAAACCTTTGTTTGCAATTACAGAGATCATACGTTTCCTGTAGGTCTTGACCAGGTTTGCACACACTGCAGCAGGGATTTTGGTCCACTCCTCCATACAGACCTTTTCCAGATCCTTCAGGTTTCGGGGCTGTCGCTGGGCAATACGGACTTTCAGCTCCCTCCAAAGATTTTCTATTGGGTTCAGGTCTGGAGACTGGCTAGGCCGCTCCAGGACCTTGAGATGCTTCTTACGGAGCCACTCCTTAGTTGCCCTGGCTGTGTGTTTCGGGTCGTTGTCATGCTGGAAGACCCAGCCACGACCCATCTTCAATGCTCTTACTGAGGGAAGGAGGTTGTTGGCCAAGATCTCGCGATACATGGCCCCATCCATCCTCCCCTCAATACGGTGCAGTCGTCCTGTCCCCTTTGCAAAAAAGCATCCCCAAAGAATGATGTTTCCACCTCCATGCTTCAGGGTTGGGATGGTGTTCTCTTCCTCCAAACACGGCGAGTGGAGTTTAGACCAAAAAGCTATATTTGTGTCTCATCAGACCACATGACCTTCTCCCATTCCTCCTCTGGATCATCCAGATGGTCATTGGCAAACTTCAGACGGGCCTGGACATGCGCTGGCTTGAGCAGGGGGACCTTGCGTGCGCTGCAGGATTTTAATCCATCCATGATGGCGTAGTGTGTTACTAATGGTTTTCTTTGAGACTGTGGTCCCAGCTCTCTTCAGGTCATTGACCAGGTCCTGCCGTGTAGTTCTGGGCTGATCCATCACCTTCCTCATGATCATTGATGCCCCACAAGGTGAGATCTTGCATGGAGCCCCAGACCGAGGCTGATTGACCGTCATCTTGAACTTCTTCCATTTTCTAATAATTGCGCCAACAGTTGTTGCCTTCTCACCAAGCTGCTTGCCTATTGTCCTGTAGCCCATCCCAGCCTTGTGCAGGTCTACAATTTTATCCCTGATGTCCTTACACAGCTCTCTGGTCTTGGCCATTGTGGAGAGGTTGGAGTCTGTTTGATTGAGTGTGTGGACAGGTGTCTTTTATACAGGTAACGAGTTCAAACAGGTGCAGTTAATACAGGTAATGAGTGGAGAACAGGAGGGCTTCTTAAAGAAAAACTAACAGGTCTGTGAGAGCCGGAATTCTTACTGGTTGGTAGGTGATCAAATACTTATGTCATGCAATAAAATGCAAATTAATTACTTAAAAATCATATCATCCAGATTTTCTGGATTTTTGTTTTAGATTCCGTCTCTCACAGTTGAAGTGTACCTATGATAAAAATTACAGACCTCTACATGCTTTGTAAGTAGGAAAACCTGCAAAATAGGCAGTGTATCAAATACTTGTTCTCCCCACTGTATATGTATACATGCATACACACACACAGTACCAGTCAAACGTTTGGACACCTACTCATTCTAGGGTTTTTCTTAATTTTTTACTATTTTCTACATTGTAGAATAATAGTGAAGACATCAAAACTACAGAATAACATATGGAATCATGTAGTAACCAAAAAAAGTGTCAAACAAATCAGATTCTTCAAAGTAGCCACCCTTGGCCTTGATGACAGCTTTGCACACTCTTGGCTTCATCTGTAATTTGGCCTTATTTGATCGTTTTGATGTCTTCACTATTATTCTACAATGTAAAAAATAGTAAAAATTAAGAAAAACCCTTGAATGAGTAGGTGTGTCCAAACTTTTGACTGGTAGTGTGTGTGTATATTATAATATTGCCATAGCCTTTGGCAAGATTCAACTTTACTTCCTGATATTTTGCAAGGGGAAAATACCAGCACTGCACAGATAGAGGTTTTTGCTAATAGTGTTAAGGAAAATGCCACCCTAAGAGATCTACCAAGACAGAATAATGGCACTGGTTTGCAGTAGCCTATACAGACGTAGGATCTACATTTGATCACCCTGTTGCAGGAGAACTTTCCTGCAATGCAGGACATTTAAAACGTGTAGTGTATTTGAGGTTTAAAAAGGCTTCAGAAGTTTGTAATTTCCACTTCAATACTGCACACTCATCAATCAAGCCCTTTATTGATTAGTTGAAACAGGTGTTAGTAATGGGACGGAACAAAAGCCTGCACCCCCAGTGCGAGGGTTGAGGAACAGAGTTGTCGCTAGTTTTCTGGAAGCTTACCTGACTGCCCTGACACAGACAACCCAGGAGCAGAGCTGTGTAGGAAGCCACGATGCTGTCCTCCATGTGCTTCCCAGCATGCTGCAGAGCTATACCACCACAGAGAGGAGAGAGAGAACACTCAACATGGAGCAGTGATACTATTGGAAACTGTTACAAAAAAGGATTTTACACAGACACACATCTTCACCTTTGTTGAGATCTAGCTCCTCATCTTCCTCCTCTTTCTTTGTGTCCTTTTCCTTGTCATTCTCGTCGTTGTTGGTTTCCGCAGCAACCCACTGGATCTCGCCCGACGTCTCCTGCCACTCCCCGCTCTGGTCCTGGGGCTTGGGCGCCTCGCTGATGAGGTCATCAGTCTGCGCCTCGGCCAATATGGCTGCTCGCTCCCGCTCCAGGAAGAACTGCGGATGGAGGAAAAGAGTGTCAAACTCCGGCCGTCAGCTAATCATCAGGTTACAGACTCATTTTCAGCAGGCTACTTTTTCTACTTCATATTAACTAGGATGAACAATATGCATCTTTCTAGCAATCTATTGATAGGATAGGCTCCTGTCAGTCACAAAGCAAGCGATGACAGGGAAACGCAGTCTGCCTCCATGTGCAATGTGTGCCTCCTCTAGCTCAGTTGGTAGAGCATGGCACTTGCAACACCAGGGTTGTGGGTTTCGATTCACACGGGGGGCCAGTATGAAAAATGTATGCACTCACTAAAACTGCAAGTCTCTCTGGATAAGAGCGTCTGCTAAATGACTAAAATGTAAATGTGCGCTTGTGGTTGGTTGCAGTCAAAAACTTTACACGGAGGAAGAGAGCATAATGCACGTGAATCTGCACGTCAGGGGTAACAATTACTTGAAATCCACGACAGCCTAATTATGGTTCTGGCACATTCAGGTTTTTTCATTTCAAAAACTTTCTCAATTAAATGTTAACTACAAAGTAGCCTATGCTTATCTGGCAGAATGATATGATTATTTTCATCAATCCAGTGGGTATTTGTTTTGCAAACTATCACGTGCGCTACAAAAATACAGATAAACAACAGCCTCTTGCTAGGAGCCACTTGAATAAAAGGTTAACCACCACACCCAAAAATCTACATCTCAGATTTTTCCCAGACCTCAAAAGTAGTCTCATGATGTGGCTTAAGCATTGTTGTGGACTTATAACATCACATTTTGTTGTTTTTCTATTAAAAGTGATTTGAGAGCAAAAACCTGACAAAATCTAGAAAAACGGGAAACTGGAAAAACAAAACTGAGAAAACTGAATTTGAGAAAGAACAAAAACGGGATCAGGCAAAAAAAAAAAAAAATGAATTTAGGCTATGTAAAATCAGAACGATTTAACACTTAAAACTGATAACCCTTTAAAAATATATATTTAGCCATTTATTTATTTTTCAAGACAATGTGGGCTATTAATCTATTTTTCTGTTTAAATAAAAAACTATTTGAAGAACATTGTGGCAATTCATATCTTGCAGTAAAACTGTGAATAAGACTAATCAAGAGAAGACGGGTTAAATGTAAAAAAAAAAAAAGGTATAATGTTATCTTACCTTACTAAATAGTCCTGATCATACAGGCCTAGACGATATACAAAATAACTAACCACACACTGAATTCATACATTTCCAGTCATTTAAATTGTGAAAAGTAATGCCTTTCGACAAAATGTTCCAATCTGGGAGGTAAAGTAGATTATTTCGCTGTGTATTTCAGATGGAATCAAGACATTAGACTGTACCAGAGACCAACACAATAGAGCTTCTTCGGCAAAAAAAACAACAAAAAAAACAGCCGGGGGCCACACTATGTACTTGTGGAAGACGCAGACAGATTAACAAGAGTAACTCAATAACCTGTGTTTTCCTATATTCTTACTACAAATTCCCATCAAAATTATTCTGAAGTGGTGATATAGCTACAACAGAACTATTACCTGCACCAGAGCAGCCAGGGCACTTGAAGAGGAGCCCTTGGTCTTCTCCTCAGCCATACCCTCTGTAGGGGCTGCTATAGCTGGAACTGTGGAGGCTAGGACTTGTTTAGGGGTCTGGGTCTCTTCTCCCCCTGCCCCACCCTGGCTGCCTTCAGGGGTCTGGGTCTCTAATCCGCCTGCCTCTCCCTGGCTGCCTTCAGGGGTCTGGGTCTCTTCTCCCCCTCCCTCTCCCTGGCTGCCTTCAGGGGTCTGGGTCTCTAATCCCCCTGCCTCTCCTTGGCTGCCTTCAGGGGTCTGGGTCTCTAATCCGCCTGCCTCTCCCTGGCTGCCTTCAGGGGTCTGGGTCTCTTCTCCCCCTGCCCCACCCTGGCTGCCTTCAGGGGTCTGGGTCTCTTCTCCCCCTCCCTCTCCCTGGCTGCCTTCAGGGGTCTGGGTCTCTTCTCCCCCTGCCTCTCCCTGGCTGCCTTCAGGGGTCTGGGTCTCTAATCCCCCTGCCCCACCCTGGCTGCCTTCAGGGGTCTGGGTCTCTAATCCCCCTGCCCCACCCTGGCTGCCTTCAGGGGTCTGGGTCTCTTCTCCCCCTGCCTCTCCCTGGCTGCCTTCAGGGGTCTGGGTCTCTAATCCCCCTGCCTCTCCCTGGCTGCCTTCAGGGCTGGTTGTGTTGAACTCCATGTCCACCAGACAGTGGCGGTTTCTGGCACTGTACTCCACCAGGTTAATCAGCAGCCCCAAGCCCTGTACCAGCACACACACAGGAGGAGAGAGGAGAGATGTTAGAAAGGCTCTCAAGGACATGAAATGTTTTATCATGGATCTTAATGAAGTGTGAGTACAAACAACCTGCAATTACTACATTGAAGCTTCAGTTTTAATAATTACCTAGGCATTCATTAAGTGGCATTTCAAACGAAGTGGGTACAAAGGACCCAAATGTTTCAAAGATCATACAGTTAATTGGATTTGTGTAATTTACATGCATGCCTACAACACACACACAGGTGCTCTCACCAGGACTCTGATGTCAAAGCGTTGTTCCTGAGGTATGTAGCGTGGGACCCGTAGGACACAGTTGAGAGCTGTGATGATGAGCTGGTCTTGCTCTCCAGTCTTAGTACTTCCCCACTCTAAAAACCACAGTACAGTCCAGAGTTAACACTCTCCCTCCACCCTGCAGTCAGCTGTGGTGTGTGTTATGAGGACTCTAGCACAGCTGTGATGCAGTCAAAGAGACAAGGAAGAGCAGCGAAACAAGGCACTAGCTAGGGAACGCATTGCGCTAGTTACAATGTTGCTCAATGTAGAAGTCGTGTTGATGCAGGGATATTACCATTGTCATGGGTGAGGTTGAGCAACACCCCTATGACGGCCCTCATGCAGTCCTCGACAGCCTTGCCCACGTTGCTGAAGCTGCAGTGGGGCAGCGCCATGCCTGACCAACACAGAGAGCTGTTCACCTCCCGGCTGTAGCGCTGAATCATGTCCTCACAGTACCGCAAACCTCTGAGAGCGAGAGATGAAGCAAGAGAGCGAGATGAAGCAAGAGAGCGAGATATGGCGAGCGAGAGAGATGGCGAGCGAACAAGAGAGAGACGGAGCGAGCGAGACGGAACGAGCGAAAGAGAGAGACGGAGCGAGCGAGCCTCGTTGAGTTCCAGGAGAAGTGACAGCACAGAGATTTATCCCTGAGCCCTTTGCAGGACATGACTCTATACTAGTATACTAGAGGTGGGGACTGGGCAGAGGGAGTAGAGGTGGAGTGAAAGATCAGGGCTCTTTCACCATCTAAAGAGGTTGTCAAAAGATTAGCATGCGTTTCAGTCTCTCTCACCTGGCAGAGGACACTATGAGCTGAGAGTCCTTGTAGGCGATCAGGTAGCCCTGGTTCTCTGGGTTTTGGACAGTCACCTGCAATGGAAGGACAGAAAGACACACTACACTGATATTGAAATGCCTTTTAAATAGTCAAATCAAAGCTGGTCAGATGAGGCTGAAAGCGCAGAGTCAATTTACTTTCCCCTCTTGTATTCAATGAATGGATTTCAAACATCTGAGCCTGCCAACACTCCTTGATGTTGTACTTACGCTGTCCAGTACTCTTAGACACCTCTCTGCCCCCCATAGCGACGACACCAGCTTCTCCTTGTCATCCTCTTGGCTCAGGTTCTGGACACATTCTTTTACTGCAGGAGACACAATAATTCACATATATGCCAATTACTACGTGCTAACAAAGTGAGATGACCTAGATAAGATGCAACTTACACAGGACTTTCCTAAGTGAACATATTATGAATGTGTTGTGACCTTTATTATTTGAGTGATAATTTATGTTAAATAATACAACAAACTCAAAATATTCAAATTTTTGCAGTTATTTATTTCAATGTTTAAGGGTTTATGAAAAGTGTATTTCCCAATACACCAGTCCTTTGTATTGGTGTAGACTTGACTGCTTGATGAGACCAACTCACAAACTAAAAAGGAGAAATCAAACATTTCTCTGGTAGGCACAACCTACCCTGGCACCCCTAACAAAAGAATAACCTTAAGACAAAACCTTTACAACATGCGCACACACACCAACCTTTATCTACAATGTGGTCCAGGCCTCCCAGTAAGCGCAGCTCCTCTTTGAACCAGTCACCGGCCCTCTTCGAGGTCAGAGACAACAGGGTCTCCATGGCCAAGTGACACGACTGCAAAACAAACAAGATAAAGTGCTATAGAACTCCAACCCACCATCATCAATATAAACATCAGTATTCTAATTGTCCCGGCGTACCGTGATGTTCTCCAGGTCCAGGTGCTTGTTGTGGACCGTCTCACACAGCTTGCGGATCTTCTCCTTGACCTTGGTCATCTCCTTGGCAGTGAGCTGGTCCTGGTGGTGGCCTGAGTGGTCGTGCTCCAGCTCCAACAGTCTGATCATCAGCTCCAGACTGGCCCGGTCCAGGTCCATGTTCAACCTGTCTCTGCTTAGGATGTACATCAGAGAGGCCGTACACAGGGCCAGGTTCTGGAGATGAGTGAAGGGAGAGCGGGGAGGGGCAAAAATAAATTCAAAAGCATCTGGTGGCAGGGGAAGACCTTAAATATTGTCCTTGTTTACTCAAATTCAGGTTCAATAGCAAAATGTGAAGTATCTACAGGACAAATAGCAGGTAATCGACACAAATAAGCTGAGGTAGGTTTATTGAAACCCACTGGTTTTGTTATCGTTGTTAGTTTGGGTCAGTTACCGTTGTTAGTTTGGGTCAGTTACCGTTGTTAGTTTGGGTCAGTTATCGTTGTTAGTTTGGGTCAGTTACCGTTGTTAGTTTGGGTCAGTTACCGTTGTTAGTTTGGGTCAGTTACCGTTGTTAGTTTGGGTCAGTTACCGTTGTTAGTTTGGGTCAGTTACCGTTGTTAGTTTGGGTCAGTTACCGTTGTTAGTTTGGGTCAGTTGTGGTTGTAGACTTGAACAGAGTCCTACCGGATGCTGCGGGGCATCATTCAACATCTTGAAGACCTGAGCCACCTTCCCTCTGGCCCGTAGGTGCATCCGGAAACTGGGCATTGCACACCTTGCGGCTAAACTGATTATACTTGAGAGAGAGAGAGCAAGAGGGGGAGAGTGTTTGAAGAAGTTCAGAGGAGAAGAGCACAGAGGATTGAGTGGACGAGTAAAAAATAATGAAAGACTCTAAAATCGGTCCATGTTGTCCTCTTGGCTTGAGCATATATATAGCAGGAAACGTATGTTAAATTAGGCGAGCTCTTTTCCCCATGGTGGACAATGTTGCGTGGGGTTGTCTTACCTAAGGCATCGTGTGTTGAGCGGCTGGCTGCTCTTTAGGCCTGTCTCCAGGTACTCAAAGTCATCAGTGAACTCCTGGTTTTCACCAAACTCTACCACATCGTTGAAGTGCTTCACATTATGCACAACCGTGTACAGCTGCAAGGGGGAGAGATGAGACGATGAGTGACATTTACACTAGCAAATGGCACTGAACATTGAGCAAAATAACCGTAATATTTAAAATTGTTATCTAATGCAAGTGTCTCTGTGTGCATGTGTGTCTGTCCAGAGAAAGAAAGAAAAGTCACATCTTGCAAAGCGGTGCCACTCGATTAGTTCCATTAGCTGACTGGGATAATACCCCCTTATCAATAACTATGTGTGTGTGCGCGCGCACCAGAGGTTATCTAAGGCGAAGACACTGCCCAACGAGATAGATTCGGTTCAGTCCCTCTTGGTAAGGGGGAATGTGCAGCCAACTGTCTGGTCAAGAGGAAGGCGGCAAATCTGCTAGCTGTGGCTAGGCCTTAATGAAACACCATGCTCCTCAGGCACCCACCTGCCCATACTATGTTTTAAAATTAACAAAGACAAGCTTTACACTGCGCTCTAAATGGACATCAACAGTCTAAACACGCAAACACAAATTGTAAAAATGGCAGATAAGCGGTCGGGGGATGTTAACAGTGCAAAGATCATGCCGACTGTCTTGAGGGCGTGACGCATCAGCCAGCATGCCCGGCTCACCTCCTTGTGTTCCTTCCTGCATTTGAGAGCTGTGACGATGTCCTGGTAAGGCTGAGTGGGGATGGTCACAGACTTGATGACTTTGGGTGGTGGGGGAGGAGCTTTGAACAGACCGTCGTCTTTGTGGGAGTTGGTGTCCTTGCTGCTTCCGCTCGATATGCTGGCCTGGAGGGGAATAAATCAAAAAGCAAAGTTAGATGAGACAAACAACTAGTTCCAGGTGCCCTTGGACAATCTAAATTGTCTCCTATTGGGACATTTTCAAAGTCTTGACTAAGCAGAATACAGCTAATATTGATTTAGATTTCCCTACTCTGAAATCTCAAGTAGGTGAGGCTGCTATTGGGTCAATGCATTATTCTAGGACAACGCATTGTTATCTTCTTACTAGAGATCGCAAATTCAATACATGGTGTGTGTGCAGGCATTTGTGCGTATGTATGTGTGTATGACCAGTGTAAGGCAGAGCCCTGGCAGTGTCCTAGAGTAGTTCTCACCGGAGCAGTGTGTGCGCGGGCAAGGAGTGGCGGGGGAATCTCCTCAGGCTCAGGCTGGTTCCAGTGGCGAGCGTTGTACACAGCTTTAGCAGGGGACTGCACACAACACACAACCACAGGTCCAGGGTAAGTACAGTAGCACTGGGAATAATTACAGTACAGGTTTCAGTAGTATTAGAAAGGATTCATGATGAATTACCAAAAGCGAGACAAACCTTGACGTCCTCAGTTTTGGGAACAGTAGGTACTAGATAAATCCAACGTATTATTAGCCTCATAATCACAATACCATAGGAGCTAATGGTGGAGAATTGTTTGCTGAACACAACTTCATAACGTCTAGACATTTACGAAGCTACATGGCTCGTTTCATCAAGTTGCTTTCAGAATCAGACTCCTGTACAAAAACGGTCACTTCCTTTAACATTGACCAGAAACTACTTCCCAAATAAATACATTAGTCCCCTAAATCTCGCTTTAAGGACATTTAAGTTCATCCTATAGTATTATCCTATCATCTCCAGGACTCAAGAAGCTCACTTCAATTAAAATGCTATCCATTTTAGGAAAAAGAACGTTCATTATCAAACCATTAGATCTGCTATAAAAGTGGTGAGTTTGTGATGGAAGGAATACATTTACGTCATTTAGCAGACGCTCTTACAGAGCGACTTCCGTTAGTGCATACATTATTCTTTTTATTTCATACTGGCCCCCCATGGGAATCGAACCCCCGGGAGAATACAAAATCAGACATGCTTTTTGCTTTAATGATACTGAATACTTCTACCTAGGAAATGGGTGTGTTCAGACATTGCATTCTAAATGGTAAACCATCCATTTTTGAAGTAGTCTAGTGCAGCGATTACCAAACCCGGCCCTGGGGCCCCCCCTGGGTGCATGTTTTTGTTTTTGCCCTAGCACTACACAGCGGATTAAAATAACCAACTCATCTTCAAGCTTTGATTATTTGAATCAGCTTTGTAGTGTTCGGGCAAAAACCAAAACATGCACCCAGGGCCGGGTTTGGTCTAGCGCAAGTCCTGAATATGACTGGCCTATATTGAGAGGATGTTGTGATTATAAACACACATAAACCATGTTTTTTTTGTGCTATAAAACTAGCAGACAGATTAGTCTATTGATTCTGCTTCCCCCCTGGTTGGAGGACCTGACATACATGTTTTTTTTCTTTATTTTAACTATTTTCTACATTGTAGAATAATAGTGAAGACATCACAACTATAAAATAACACATATGGAATCATGTAGTAAACAAAAAAGAGATTCTTCAAATAGCCACCCTTTGCCTTGATGACAGCATTGCACACTCTTGGCATTCTCTCAACCAGCTTCACCTGGAATGCTTTTCCAACAGTCTTGAAAGAGTTCCTACATATGCTGAGCACTTGTTGGCTGCTTTTCCATCACTCTGCGGTCCGACTCATCCCAAACCATCTCAATTGGGTTGAGGTCGGGGGATTGTGGAGGTCAGGTCATCTGATGCAGCACTCCATCACTCTCCTTGGTAAAATAGCCCTTACACAGCCTGGAGGTGTGTTGGGTCATTGTAATGATGTCATGTCATAGTATTGTGAGGACAGAGGAAGAGTTAAGAGATGAGTGGTTTGGGGCTATGAAGTCTACATTCCATTATGTCAAGGTAGATTAGTGATGTTTAGGATAGCATGAGTGATGTTTAGGGTACTGACTTGGGGTAAAGAGTGATGAACATCAAAGACAGGGAGTGCCCATGGAGACTTGCCAGATGTATGTCAGGAAGATGGTAATAGAAGGGTATATAAGGTAGTGTTTCCTTTGTTCAAGAGTTCAACTGACGAAGGGCAAAGCTATGTCTGTTGGTTAGATGAACCCACGAGCTCGTGATTCAATAAATACTTGGTATGAAATCTCCACAGAATGTCTAAGTATATCCTTGCATCCTTGAATCTTTGATACCTGAGAAACTCATAACAGATTGGCGTCTAAACGAACAGGATGCAGTTCACAGCTCAACTAACAGGTAAGCAGACTTTCATTTTTTGAATTATGTCAAAATCTGCTTATCTGTGGTAAAGCTGAACTGTAACGAACTTTAAAATTCTATATTTTAAAGGGGGACGATGAGTGGTGTTGAATTATGTAAAGGGATGTAAGGAGGAATATTAAATTGCACAATGACATGATGCTATGATTCAAAACAAGGTGTGTTAACAGTAATTAGCATAAATTGGTAAAGAGAGACTGATGTGTTGTATCATCATAGGAGTAAATAGGTAAAGAGAGAAATAGGTTACGGACCTTTGTGATGTGGTAAAAACATCATTAAATAAGAAGATAATTAGACAAATGAATTACTCAAAATGGCTAGGAGAGGGAGCCAATGACAAGTAACATATTGAATCAGTGTTTAATTACTAACATTGAATGTTACTAACATTGCATGAAATAATAACAGTGATAGGTAAGCATAGAGGTGATAATGAATATCCTCAGGAGAGTAGTTAAAAGGGGTAAATAGAGCTTGATGTTATTTTAGAGAGTAGTGGAAAGTCTTTTCTGGGACAGGAACGGCAGTGTCCATGGAAATTACAGTCTGTGTTTTCTGGGACAGGAACGGCAGTGTCCATGGAAATTACAGTCTGTGTTTTCTGGGACAGGAACGGCAGTGTCCATGGAAATTACAGTCTGTGTTTTCTGGGACAGGAACGGCAGTGTCCATGGAAATTACAGTCTGTGTTTTCTGGGACAGGAACGGCAGTGTCCATGGAAATTACAGTCTGTGTTTTCTGGGACAGGAACGGCAGTGTCCATGGAAATTACAGTCTGTGTTTTCTGGGACAGGAACGGCAGTGTCCATGGAAATTACAGTCTGTGTTTTCTGGGACAGGAACGGCAGTGTCCATGGAAATTACAGTCTGTGTTTTCTGGGACAGGAACGGCAGTGTCCATGGAAATTACAGTCTGTGTTTTCTGGGACAGGAACGGCAGTGTCCATGGAAATTACAGTCTGTGTTTTCTGGGACAGGAACGGCAGTGTCCATGGAAATTACAGTCTGTGTTTTCTGGGACAGGAACGGCAGTGTCCATGGAAATTACAGTCTGTGTTTTCTGGGACAGGAACGGCAGTGTCCATGGAAATTACAGTCTGTGTTTTTGGTTCCGCTGAGAGAATGAAGGAGAGGCTATTTGGGTTGAATGAGGATTGTTAAACTAACTAAAGGATTATTTGATATGAGTATCTATAAGTTTTTAACGTTCTATATGGAGTTGTGAAGATGTGGAAATAGTAATGACAAAATCATAATTAGAGTGTCATGTTTGTATTAAACTTGCTCATCCGAACGTAGACGTACGTCGTGGTAGAAAAGTAATTAATATTGGTTTTCTAAGTTTGTACCGTATTTGGATAATGTGATAGTGGAATAAACTGACCATAAGTAATGTTGTTTTAGACGTAATGTATAATATAGTACAAAGCCAATAGAGGGTTTCCATTGAACTAATTATCATGGTAGAGCTAACGTAGTAAAGTGATGGAACTTCATTTTATATCAGAGGGTAAGATGAGAAATCATTGTAAGGGCACTATTTGTGGAATTTATTTATCATTTCAATGGCATGGAGTAACAATCTGCATTTATGAGTGTAAATTCCACTGCTGATGTGTTGATTGAATGGGTACGACAGAGTATTTGGTTTGGTGATGTTGAATGTATGATTTGAAGCGTGGGTGGTTTAAATAGCAGGACTCTTGTAGCTCGTTTGGTGGAGAATGGTGCTTGCATCTACAGGATTGTGTGTTCGATTCCCAAGGGGGGATAGTATAACTATAAAAAAATGTATGTGTTCACTAATTGTGGGTCGCTAGGGATAGGAGCGACAGCTAAATGACTAAAATGTAAAAATGTTAACGGGTATGGAGAGAAGAGTGCGTGGTAGTAATTTTTTGGCCATTGAATAAGGTTTTGCTAGATTAAACGAGTGAGAATGGTTGAATATGTTTATAAATAAATTGGATCGTGATAAATGGATGATTTCAATATATGATGGTAAACTACAGCAAGTGTTTGGTGTTACTTGTAGCTTACTTAGAAAGGATAGTTGACTAGATCTCATTCATTCTGATAATGGCGGAGTGATGGTTTCATTGTGTGGCTATGATTTTAGTTGATTACAAGAGAAATAGGATATAGTTTACGACGCATGGAGAAGTGAATGTCTTAGATCGTAATAGATAAACTGAACCAAACATGACGTTACTATGGCAATTTAGGATGGTTAATGTTGTTAAGGTCGTTTCTAAACCCTATGATAGCGGTAAATGCAGAACGCTGTTTGAAAGTGTGTTTTATTAGGTCTGCTAGTAAAAATGGAAGAATTTCCATTTTTGTCTGCAGGTGTTAACCATTGGGGCTTGCAGAAACGTGAGAGCGCTGTAAGGGACATTATGGGTTACGTTAGGTGTACAAGGATCGCGTATTTTTTCATAGGGGGTTGAATATTATCAGCAGGAAATGGCTAGCCTGTTAGCGGTGAGAGCTAGTGCGGTTTTCATTAGGTGACGTCACTTGCTCTATGAACTGGAAGTAGTTGCTTTGCAAGGATAGCGGATTTTGTATGGTGTGTCGATGGTGAATGTTGTCGATATGTGTAGAGGGTCCCTGGTTCAAACCCAGAGAGGGATAGAAAGCAAAACTTTTACATGGTGGATATTGACATAGATTAATAAGTGACTTGATAAACATTTTGTGAAAGGGATTGTCTTACCGACACATAGTAAATAGTATAACATAGTAATTAAAGTTGCATAGCTTTGAATTGGATGTTTTATTTGTTTGACTATAACTTCAGAGTAATTTGTCATCTGTTGAGGTACCGTTATAAGGAAAGTTAGCGGTAGAGTATGATAGATATTGTAGAGGGTTTAAAAAGTAAGTAAGTTCATTGGGTGATGAGACATGTTGAAATGTTGAATTGGATGGTTTGAAGAAGGAAAGTAGGTTAATTGGGAGATGAGAAATGTTGAATTGGATGGTTTGAGTAGAGTGGTATTAAAGTAATGCTTTCTAGTAGGTGAATGAACATATGTTTAT